AGCCCCGCCCTAACACCAGAACCCCTGACCCAGGGGCCACGAAATTCAGTTTTTGAAGAGGCATTCTTGGTCATCATAACTATGTTCTTAGTTACTTTATTTAATACCCAGGGGCATGAATTTCACAATTTTGGTAGAGGACTCAATGCTGATTACAATCATGTCAACAGTTTGACTGCTTGATGTCCAGGAGTAAAGAAGAAGATTTTTAAAGATTGCATTAATTTTAGTGGTTTAGGCCCCATCCCCTCAGGCCCGGAGGGGGGGGGGGGGGCAGGGACCATGAAATTCACAATTTTTGTTCCCCTTCACCTAATAGATCCTGTATATCAAATTTGGTTGATATATCAATTTGGTTGATATTGGTTCCGTAGTTCCAGAGAAGAAGTTAAAAATGTTCAAAAGTTTGCGTATGACAAACAACGAAAATGGATAGCAATTAAGTCACCTGAGTTTACTTAGGTGACCTAAAAAAACAAATAAAACAATTTACTATTTTTGTTTAATTTTGAAATACCATTTATCCGGTGAAAAATAAATTATGGAATAAAGTCATGCATTTAGTCTACTTCCATTTCCAAAATGGCGGCCATCGAAGAAGATATGTACATGTAAACATGTGCTGAATAAAGATGGCAATAACTATTAAAAAATGAACAAGAGACCACGGGCCTTATAGGTCACCTGAGCATCATGCAACAACTTTCAAATGTTTGAATTTGGTTCATGTTTTTAGCTAGATGCTATGGCATTCTCAATTTTGAAAGAGGCACCATTGCTAATCATATCTCAGTAATATTCAGAAATAATCAGGAGTGCCCCTACCACAAATGAACCCCTGACCCTAGGTCTACACATTGCACAATTTTTGAAAAGGCACACTTGCTTATCAAGTGTTTGATTAATATCAAGGAGCAGATTTCAAACAATTCATTTTTAGTATATAAGTAGAGCTCCACCCCCCCCCCCCCCCAGAAACCAGAAACCCTGAGGCCATAAAATTCACAATTTTGGTAGAGGCACTCTTGCTCATCATAACTATGTACTTGGTTAGTTTTTTTAATACCTAGGAGCAGAGAAGAAGATTTTCAAAGATTTAATGCATTTTCACTATATAATCATTAGAGCTCCGCCCTAACACCAGAATCCCTGACCCTGGGGCCATAAAATTCACAATTTTGGTTGAGGCACTCTTGCTCATCATAGCCATATACTTAATTAGTTTATTTAATGCCTAGGAGCAGAGAAGAAGATTTTCAAAGATTTAATGCATTTTCACAATATAAACAATAGAGCCCCGCCTTAACATCGGAACCCCTGACCCTGGGGCCATGAATTTCATAATTTTGGTAGAAGCACTCTTGCTCATCAAAACTATGAACTAATAATTGGTTTATTTAATACCCAGGAGCAGAGAAGAAGATTTTCAAAGAATTAATGCATTTTCACTATATAATCAATAGAGCCCCGCCCTAACACCAGAACCCCTGACCCTGGGGCCATGAATTTCAGAATTTTGGTAGAGGACTCAATACTGATTACAATCATACCAGCAGTTTGACTGCATGATGTCCAGGAGTAAAGAAGAAGATTTTTAAAGATTGCACTAATTTTAATGGTTTTTGCCCCATCCCCCAAGCCCCAGGGGGGCAGGGACCATGAAATTCATAATATTTGTTCCCCTTCAACCACAGATGCTATATACCAAAATTGGTTGAAATTGGTTTAGCGGTTTCAGAGTAGAAGCTGAAAATGTTTAAATGTTAACGCACGAAGGACGACGACGGAAGAAAACAGATAGCAATAGGTCACCTGAGTTTACTCAGGTGACCTAAAAATGTTATCACATTTAATTGATAAGTAAGTTTAACATTTTATTTTAGGAGAATCATAAGGAAACAAAAGTGCAAGTTTGAAATTTGCTTCAATTAATACATCTAGCTATATACATCTTTGTTAGGACTCGAAATGGAGCAATTGGCTACTCAAATATTCGGCTATTCTGATAACAGAAGGCTGACAAATTTACTACTGGATAAAACAAGATCCACTGTATTTCAAGAGAGTTCTAAGTTATTTTTAGTACCCATAGCAACACCAATCAAGGAAATCAATTAAAAGCCAATAAACAGAATTATGTATCTTAGTGTAGTCTACTTGTGTGCCAAGTTATATTTAAATTTGACCAAAGCTGTGGAAGGAGAAGCATTTTGAAAGCATTTCACAAAAGTAACCATGGCAACACCAATCATCGAAATCCAAAATTGATACACAGAATTATGTATCTTAGTGTAATTTACTTGTTTGCCAAGTTATTTTGAAATCAGACCAAAACTGTAGGAGAAGCATTTTGAAAAATTGTTTACAGACAGACAGACATATCTACGGACAGCTAGACAGCTAGACGGATTGACAAAGGACAAAATGAGATCAGAAAAGTTCATTTGAGGTTTCAGCTCGGGTGATCTAAAAACTAGCGAGAAGACATATAATTTTTTTTATCTCATTAGATTTAGTATTACAGTACCAACCAGACCCAACCTGACACCCAAGCTTTCCCAGAAAGCAGTCCCCGGGACTGCTTTGGGACCGCTCTGGGACTGCTGTGGGACTGCTTTGTGTCAGGTTGGGTGTGGTTGGTACTGCATCTCTTCTTGATAGTTTGAAATTGACCTCACTTAAATTTGTCTCAGTATTTAAAAGATTATCTGACTTTTAAACAAGAGGCCCACGGGCCTTATAGGTCACCTGAGCATTATGCAACAACTTTCCAGTTATTGAATTTGATTCATGTTTTAAGCCAGATGCTATGGCATTCACAATTTTGAAAAAGGCACCATTGATCATCATAACTATACACTTAGCAATTGCTTAGCTTGGTTACTGAATACCCATACACAGGGTATGGGAACAAAAATGCATTCCAACTAATCAGTAGTGCCCCTAACACTGTGACATAAACCCCTGACCCTAGGTCCACACATTGCACAAATTTTAAAAAGGTGCCCTTAAAATTGCCTACCAAAAAATAAATGTTTTATAAATACAAAGGTGCAGATTTCAAACAATTCATTTTCAGCATATAAGTAGAGCCCCACCCCTTGACCCTGGGGCCTTAAAATTCACAATTCTGCAAGATTAGAGCCCTTGCTCATCATAACTACATAGGTAGTTCATCTGCTTCATACCCAGAGACAGAGAAGAAAATTTTCAAAGATTTAATGTATTTTCACTATATAATCAATAGAGCCCCGCCCTAACACCAGAACCCAGTGACCCTGGGGCCATAAAATTCATAATTTTAGAAGAGGAATTCTTGCTCATCATAATTATGTACTTAGTTAGTTTATTTAATTCCTAGGAGCAGAGAAGATTTTCAAAGAATTCATGTATTTTCAATATATAATCAAACAAGCCCTGCCCTAACACCAGAACCCCTGACCCTGGGACCATAAAATTCACAATTTTGGTAAAAGCATTCTTGCTCATCATAACTATGCACAAAATTAGTTTATTTAATACCTAAGAACAGAGAAGAAGATTTTCAAAGAATTCATGTATTTTTACTATATAATCAATAGACCCCCACCCTAACACCAGAACCCCTGCCCCTGAGACCATAAAATTCACAATTTTGGTTGAGGCACTCTTGCTCATCATAACTATGCACTTAGTTAGTTTATTTAATACCTAGGAGCAGAGAAGAAGATTTTCAAAGAATTCATGTATTTTCACTATATTATCAATAGAGCACCCCCCCCCCCCCTCACACCAGAACCCTTGACCCTGGGACCATAAAATTCACAATTTTGGTTGAGGCACTCTTGCTCATCATAACTATGCACTTAGTTAGTTTATTTAATTCCTAGGAGCAGAGAAGAAAATTTTCAAAGAATTCATGTATTTTCACTATATAATCCATAGACCCCCCCCCCCAACACCAGAACCCTTAGTTTTCACTATATATAATCAAAAGAGCCCCGCCCTAACACCAGAACCCCTGACCCTGGGGCCATAAAATTAACAATTTTGGTAGAGGCACTCTTGCTCATAGTTGGTTTATTTAATACACAGGAGCAGAGAAGAAGATTTTCAAAGAAATAATGCATTTTCACTATATACTTATTTAGCCCCGCCCTAGCACTAGAACCCCTGACCCCAGGGCCATGAATTTCACAATTTTGGTAGAGGACTCAATGCTGATTACAATCAAACAAACAGTTTGAATGCTTGATGTCCAGGAGTAAAGAAGAAGATTTTTAAAGATTCCATTAATTTTAGTGGTTTTGGCCCCACCCCTCAGGCCCCAGGGGGGCAGGGATCATGAAATTCAAAATTTTTGTTCCCCTTCACTCATAGATGCTTTGTGTCAAATTTGGTTGAAATTGGTTCAGTGGTTGCAGAGAAGAAGCTGAAAATGTTCAAATGTTAACACACGACGGACGACAAACGACGGACGAAAACGGATAGCAATAGGTCACCTGAGTTCAGGTGACCAAAAAAGGAACTCCCTCCATTGTAATGTATGATGTAAAATAAAACGTTATTTTTCAATATATTTTCCCGGTCCTTCGGATGAGACCGTATAAACCGAGGCCCCGTGTCGCAGTAGGTGCTGGCACGAAAAAGATCCCTCACTGCTCAAAGGCCCTGAGTGCCGAGCATAGGACAAAATTTGTAGCCCTCCACCAGCAAGTGGTGGCGTCTCCATATGAGTGAAAAATTCTCGAGAGGGACGTTAAACAATATACAATCAATCAATCAATATATTTTCCTAGTAAAGTGTAAAAATCATACAAAAAACAATATTGCATTTACAGTAATACATGTATAGCATGAAAATCATGTAGACAAATTTGATGAAAATTACAGAGAATATGCTTCAAATTCTAAGAAACATTAAATAAAATTTTCAGGATGTGTTTTTATGCAGAAAGCCTGCAACCTACCTTAAGACCCTATTATCACTTTTGTTTACATTCAAATTAAGAACCACTTACACTCCATGTTTGTTGAACTGTTGGGTCATCAACATTGGATGTTAGAGTTGCTGATTGACCATTTTTTCTTTCTGTTATGTTTAAAGTTACTGCCCAGTTGTCTACAAAAGAAATCAAAGTACTGGAAGCACTTGGAAGCACAAAGCAATGATTTTTAGCTCACCTGAGCCGAAAGCTCAAGTGAGCTTTTTTGATCATATTTTGTCCGGTGTCCATCTAGCTGTCCGTCTGTCTGTAAACTTTTCACATTTTCAACTTCTTCTCAACTGCTGGGCCAGTTTCACCCAAACTTGCCACAAAGCGTCCTTGGGTGAAGGGAATTCAAGTTTGTTCAATTGAAGGGTCACTCCCTTATTCAAGGGGAGATAATTGGGATTTAATGAAACTTTGGTGGCATGTTTTAAAAATCTTCTTCTCAAGAACCAAGTACCAGAAAAGATGAAACTTATGGGGAAACATATTCAGGTAGTGTAGATTCAAATTTCTTCAAATCATGACCCCCGGGTTAGGGCAGGACCAAAATGGCTAACCAAAGTTTTACATAGAAATATATAGGAATATTCTTTAAAAATCTTCTTCTCAAGATTGACAAAGCCAGGTAGTGTAGATTCAAGTTTCTTCAAATCATGACCCCTGGGGTAGGGAGGGGCCAAAATGGCCAATCAAAGTTTTACATAAAAATATATAGGAAAATTCTTTAAAAATCTTTTTCTCAAGAATAGCAAGGCCAAAATTCATCATATTTATATGAAAGCATCCTCAGGTAGTGTAGATTCAAGTTTCTTCAAATCATGACCCCTAGGAGTAGAGAGGGGCCAAAATAGGCCGACCAAAGTTTTACATAAAATTATATAGGAAAATTCTTTAAAAATCTTCTTTTCAAGAATGACAAAGCCATAATTCATCATATTTATATGGAAGCATCCTCAGGTAGTGTAGATTCAAGTTTCTTCAAATCATGATCCCCAGGGGTAGGGGAATGCGGGTGGTTATGTTTCCGATTCCTTGTTCGATCCTTGTGGTTTCGACCCGAGTCCTTGTTCGACCCGCGTGGTTTCAATCAGCGTGGTTTTGACCAGAGTGGTTTCGCTCAAGGTAATATTAATTAACAATTTACATCAAATTTCGATAGTTTTATATTTCTTATTCATTATAATTCAAATTATTCAGATTTTTTTAATCAACCATAACTGTTTATAATTAAAAATAGTGATAATTATGATGTTTTTTTTTTAACTTGGAAAAAACCTACACTGTATACCAACTGTTTATACAAAAATGAGTTATCTCTCTTCTCTGTCCTCTGTCATTATTCCTATAATTGCACTTTAACCTCTGTAAAATTAGGGGAGACTAAGATAAAAAGAAATATATATTTATTGATATTTTAGAATTATGAATTAATCACAATATATATAGAATTTCAATTTTACCCGATTAAAATCACTCCAATAGTTTTGAAAAAAGATAGTACAAAATATTTTATCACTCCCTGTCTAACGCATATAAACATGCACATTTTATTCATAAGTTTACCACTCAGCAGAAATATGTAAATTATCCCGCCAAGAGCTAATTTCTTTTTATAGAAAAATGTTCAGATATAAATTATTATCATATTTCAAATGAAATTAATTACATCCTTGTCCAATCTTTACTATCTCTACTTTTGACTTCAATGTTGACAACCAATTGAATTATTAACACGTTTCCCTCGATACCTGAAACCATAGACCTGTAGTTGCTACCAAATTCCATGTGCATACCTTATAGTGTGAAGCTGTGAACCCCTCTATTTACCTGTACATACAAATATAATCAGGTCGAAACCACTTGGGTTGTTACCACTTGGGTCGAACACAGAATCGGAACATAACCACTCGATACCGGGGTAGGTAGGGTAGGGCCATTTAAATGGTTGACCAAAGTTTTATATAAAATTATATAGGAAAATTCTTTAAATATCTTCTTCTCAAGAATGACACAGCCATAATTCATCATATTTATATGGAAGCATCATCAGATAGTGTAGATTCCATTTTGTTCAAATCATGACCCCCGGGGGTTGGAAAATTCTTTAAAAATGTTCTTCTTGATTACAGCAAAGCCATGATTCGTCATATTTTTATGGAACCATCCTCAGGTAGTGTAGATTCAAGTTTGTTCAAATCATGACCCCCAGGGGTAGGGTGGGGCCAAAATGTCCATCCAAAGTTTTAAATAGAAATATACTGTAGACATACTTTTTTCCACAGGGTCATAATTCCGCGGAATCACAATTTCTGTTAAATCCGCAGTTAGAAAATTAAGCAGATTTTCTAGATTGTCACTATATCCTTTACATTTATATTAAGTACGCATGGACAAATTTTCGCCGAAAATTTATGAACACGTACAAAGCGTAAATTAATACCATGCGAAAAAAAGTACTTTTACAGTATTTGAAAACTTTTTAATAATCAAGAATTGTAAAGTCATAATTGATCATATTCATATAGAAGCATCCTCGGGTAGTGTAGATTCCATTTTGTTCAAATCAATACCCCCGTGGCTAGGGTTGGGCACCAATGGTCAACCAAAGTTTTACATAGAAATATATATGAAAATTTATTTAAAATCATCTTCTCAAGAAAAGCAAATCCATGGTTCATCATGGGACTTACTTTTGGATTTAATCTTTTCAATATTAAACCAATCTCTAACTTTTCCTACCCACAGTGCTCAGGTGAGCAATATGGCCCATGGGCCTCTTGTTTTAACTACTGTAAAATCACATAATTTTGAGGCCAGAGGGGTAAAATTTTTGTGGTTTGAGGGAAAAATGAGGGTTCATAGGGATTTAATTCTATGGATGAAGAATTGTTGAATAATAGTCAATGTCTGTGAATAATTACATAATATGCACATTTCATGGTGGATATATGAGAATCATACCTTGAAAACCACGAAAATTAACCCCCCACAAAAATTAGCAACTAGTTGAGTGAGGGGATAAAAATATATAGGAAAATTCTTTTAAAATGGGCCACATAGCTCACCTGAGAAGCTTTGACCATTCCGTTCTTTACCAGATTTCCCCTTCGACTTTTAATACATATTGTGACCCCAATCTACCCCACTGATCATAATTTAGACAATTTAAAATCTACACTAGTCCATATGATGCTTTGATTCCCAATTTTAAAACTTTGATTCCCCATTGTGGCCCCGCCCTAAACCCTGGGGTCATGATTAGAACATTTTAGAATCTACACTACCCCAGGATGCTTCCACATAAGTTTCAGCTTTTCTGGCGCAGTGGTTCTTAAGAAGAAGATTTTTTAATGACCCCACCTTATTTTTGTCTTGATTATCTCCCCTTGTGAAGGGACTTGGCCCTTCATTTTAACAATTTAAATTCCCCTTCACCCAAGGATGCTTTGTACCAAGTTTGGTCAAAATTGGCCCAGTTGTACTTGCGAAGAAGTTGAAAATGTGAAAGGTTTACGGATGGACAGACGGACGGACAGCTAGAGGGACGGACGACGGACAAAATGTGATCAGAAAAGCTCACTTGAGCCTTCGGCTCAGGTGAGCTAAAAATATCCATTGAATTGGAACCCTAGAAATATTCAAAGGCCTGAAGGGCCACAATGGCTCCTCGCTTTAGATATGGCAGTGATACCGTGAAATAATTATATAGCTTAGTTGTACATGTACGAGGGGCTATCAAAAAGTTTGTGGACTAGCACCATAAAATTCAAACCGCTTTAGGTACATGAATGAATTTTAAAATATCTAGTTATCATTATCTTTTCTATCCATAGAATAAATCACAAATCATAAATTTTATTTTTCAATAAATTAGTAATGTTTTTGTAAGCAATGGTATGTCCATGCGGCGCAACCTCGAAAACGACGTTTTTTTTTACCTAAGTGTAACTAAGAAAAACTATTGTGATATGAACATTTGACATCCAAATATCCCGTTAATTCAGGTATATGTTGGGACACTATTATTCCATAAAATATTAAATTATTATCTCATACTGGAGGTTCTATGAAATTTTATCGTAAATTTTACATGGAGTATCCAAACAAATGTTGCCTTGAAAATGACGTCAAAAGGGGGGGAGGGGTTTCATTTTTTAACATTTTAAGACGTTTTGCCCCTGGAAAAACTAGTATACACCTAGGAAATGTTTAAACTGGCTACGGAGATATAATGTGCATCCAGATTACTTGTTTTTAATACCAATATAGATTCAGAGAGAAAAGGAATGCACAGGTAATGTTGATTTGTAGTCAAGATGTGAAAAATCAATCACGTCAAAAAATTACGTTGATTATGTGTTGTAGATATTGAACAACAAAAAGCAAAATATGCTGGCACAATCAAGCGAGGATCTCTGCCATATTGTATAAATCTTATTTGTAATAGTATATGCATTGAAAGCCGCTGTTCATGACATTGTAAAGTCATATAAACAAGATGGATTGTTCAAGTCCTTCCTCAGCTCCTGGGAATCTCATCAAAATAAGTGTATGAAGTTGAAAAAGCAGACATTGAAAAACAATTACGCTGTCGGATGTCATAAAACTAAACGGCGACAGCGCCACGTGATCATATAATGTCGATTTTATTTTATGATAATTTGGGAAATAATGAAAGTATCAAACTAAAATTTTCAACATTTCTTTATTTTTTGTTGTTTTATGTTCCTTCAAAATTTTGTAAGCTCAGACTACATAGTACTAATTCTATAGCCTCAGTCCATGAACTTTTTGATAACCCCTCGTATATCTAGATAAAGTATCCCGATTTCAGCATTTATGAAATAAAAGCATTCAACTCATATGGTCCAACTGAAAAGCTTGAGAACAGGTTTTAATGTGTAGTCACTAGTCAGTACCCCGGTAAAAGGATTAGGACCATACTTGCTAACACCAGGGATGTAAAAATCTGGTCATTTGTCTACATGTATTTATAATTCTTCTATTTAAACAAGAGGCCCATGGGCCTTATAGGTCACCTGAGCATTATGCAACAACTTTCCAGTGATTGAATTTGATTCATGTTTTAAGCCAGATGCTATGCTATTCACAATTTTGAAAGAGGCAC